CCCGCATCCCCTTCAGCCTGAGGCTGCGAGTGTGGCCGCTGTTATTATTACTGGTTGCAAATAAACCTGTATTTATTGAGGTTACTTTAATACAGAGCTTCCTTTTATCACACGGCAGGCTTGCTCGTCTTTAGGTGGATGCCTTTAAAGCCTCCCCTCCCCTCAGTCACGGTACCTGGTTCCCCGGGCACTCTGGGAGGCCGGTGGTGGCCGGCCAGGGAAGCGCTCTGCTTTCCGGGCGTCACCAGAGAAGTTCCGATCAGTTCGAGGGAATGTATCGCAGCGTTTGCAGGGTTGCATCAGTGCAGCTTTTGCTGCGTCCGTATCCGAGTTGTTGGGTGTCAGCCAGATGGGTTTTAATGGTCGTGTCGTCACTGTCGTCCTACTTGGGATGTTGTTGCAGGTTAGATGGTTGTGAAATATTAATGTGAATATGTAACTCTCAAAGCTGGTGATTTAGGAATCTGGACCTATTGATGGAGGAAAAATATCAAGAGGACAATTTTCGGAAGGTACTGATGACTTAAGGAGAATGTGTTTAGTGTAGCGGTAGTTTGATATACTTTTAAATTAAATATATGCTGACAGTATTGTTGCTATGCAGCTTGGACTAGCCCCTAGAAAAATGTAAAGGCCTTGTTTTACAGCTGCCTTAAGAGCCCAGGCTGGTCTCCCCAAGCTATTGCACAGCGTGTAGAGAACTGCATGTAAACTAGGAGAAATTTCTAGGTGGAGACCTCTTATACCAAAGCTAGAAAATCTAGACCTTGTACCGCATATAACTGGCTGATGTTGTGGGAACAAAGAAGTTTTTATTTGAAAGTGCTGTCTAAAGGCTTCAAGACTATTTCCCTTTTCTTTATGTAGAAAAAAAAAGTCTTCCATAGGTTTGGGGTCCAGACTAAAGGCTGGAACTAGTGAGCAGCACATCCTCCACTGTTCTGTTTGTTTAGTCTGCATTGAATGTTTCAGTGCAGAATGTTGAAAGTGTTAAGAAATAGCCTTTAAGCAGCCTAAAACTTTTCAGAAAGAAGACCACAATTCTTGCAAAACTGAAATGATGGACTTTTAAAATTATAGTACAGAAGTGTTTGATATTTCTTTTTATTTCTGCCATGAGCAAGCTACATGTGAGTGTTATATTGATATAGTGGTATGGATAAAATTGTTAGTTAGGGAATATGCTATCTTAAATGCAAAATTTCAGCATTACTCAATTGCTGTCTGAGTTGCAAGCAAAGTTTTTTGTGAATGCTTGTGTATTCAAAGGCAGTCAAGCTATGGTGTCAGCACCACTAAGCATGAGAACATATGGAGTGAAATGGTGAATGGAGGTATAACCAAGTACTACAGATCACAGAGGACAAGATGTTTGTGGGATTTTTTGTGATTTGTGTACCAAAATGATTGTTAAACCTTACTTCTTAAAGCCCCAACAAATCTTTTTCATGAATGGTGATGCTAAATTTGTTATTTAGAATTTTTGAGCCTCTCTCTGAAGACTAAATGGCTTACATTATCTCCACTTAAATTATTCTTGATTTGCTGCTTTGAACTACATCAACATGATGAGCAACCCTCCTGTTTCCTTTCAGATGCAGTATGAGCACAAATGCTGAGGGAGGGTGAGCAGGCAGGCACACTTGGGAAAAGTACATAGGAAGTTTGTTCTGTAGCTTTTTGTAGTACTCTCCTTTGGACTGAAATAGAATGGTGGAACCAAATTTTTCTTTTTAAAAAGGGAGCGGCTGGATGGCAATTCCTTCTGCATTTGAAGATGAGTGAAGAAAAAGTTCTGAGAGGTGTGTTTATCCTTGCAATGGATAAGGATCTGTGGAGAGGATCTTGGGAATCTTGGATCCTTACTGTTCATATGACTGAATATACATCTCATATTACTTGATTTTCTGTTTTCTTGATTAAATGGCATTTTTGGGAAATGACTAAAATGTGACTTTTAGACTATCTTGCTCTCTGGCTTACAGATAAGAGGTGGAGGGTTTAAACCTTTTTAAGTTTAGACTGGTTCTCCTTGTATATTTTGAACAAAAATACTTAAAGTCTCTTCACACATAGGTAACAGAAGTGGTTTTGCTCTGCTTGCTTTATTATGTCAAGTTTTATTATAAGCCCTATGTATTAACGTACAAAGTGGGATATTGTGTAGGAGAGATCCTTGTAAATTTGCATCTCTTTAGATAAAACCAACAACAATTTCTTTGTCAGGAGTGCTCTCTGAAGTATGATTTAAATTTTTTTTACCTTTGTGTATGGAAAAAGCTTTAAAAAAATCTAAGATAGGTGAGGTACTGCATCTTTAACAAAGATGTAGCTGTTTTGTTAACCTAGATAGTAACTTGACTGGTTAAATAGATGTTAGGAGTACTATGATTGTATTGAAATTCTAAAATGAGTAAGCAGTGAATTAAATCAGATCGTACTCCAAATCCTAGTCTAGGCAAAGGATCAGTTACTCAACTTTCTTTTCCTGTTCTGTTATCTTGTTGGTTTTATGGGCTGAAATTCTAAAGCTGCAAAACACATTTAGGACAAAACTAGGAAGCTGCAGGTTGATAAACCAATAAATAGATGGGGGGAGAATAGTATCCCACTCTTGATAGATGGGTGAAGGCTCTGGTGAAGGTTAGCTGGTATTTCAGAATAGAGTTACTGGAATGCTGCACTGGGTAGCCAAACCCTTACCTGTGCTCAACTGTCTTATGAGAGGAAGAATCTGGCATTTAACAATGAATAGAAACATGATGAAAAGCTTTGTGGTCTAATTTTTCAGCAGGTGTGTTGAATGATGTGTGACTTGTTTTCATATAATAATGGAATATTGGTGCTGCATTTTAAAGAAATTGTATCATTTAGCCATTGAAGGAGTCAATGTTTAATTTGCCATCCAGTTTCTTTCATCATGTGGAAATGTAAGATTTTTTTTGGCCATCTGTAAGTTGGTGGCTAATAGATACCTTACAGTGAAGCCACTGCTCTGGTACTCAAGATGACACATTAGGAAACATAGCTTTTTCCTAGCAAGAAGAAAGTTGCTAGTGTCTCTACCACAGAACGTTCTTCTCTTATGAATATCAAGAGGCAGTGGTTTATCTGCAGGGGAGGTAAACACAGATAGAGCCAAGAGTGAATTAAATTTCACTGCAGTTATAGAATATCTGCATGAGCAGAAAGTTAAAATTTGTAACTTGCCTGTATCCAAAATAGCATTGAAATGGAGACAGCAGGTTAATGGCAGAATTCGAAGTATTTAATTTCAAAGAAGGAAGCAGACATTTGTTTTGGAGTCCACTGTGTGGTTTTGTGATTTACAGGAGGAAGGGAGAGGTAATGGTAGTCTGCCATGCCATGTCCCTTCTTAGGCTTTTAGATACCTAGCGAGTAGCTCTGGTGGTTTGGTGGTGGTTTTTTTTTACTGTTTCACCTAGAGGTCTTGTGTTTTCTGTCAGTAAGATGCTAAGTGGTGTCTCTGAAACCTTCTTGCTATGTGGAAAAAATCATAAGTGTTTAATCTTCAGGCTCAGAAAAACTTCTTTACTTTGGTTTGCTTACATCTCTGAGATTGAAGCTTTAAGTAGTAATTGTGCTTTAGTGTTACTGGATGGACTTGCTGGAAATTATGGATGCTTGTTTTTCTTCCCACTTTTGTAGAACTGATGCAGATACATAAGAATGAGATCTTCTGGTATGGCTCCTGAATCAGCATTTTTTTTTTTTTAACGGTGTCCATTTTCTGTTACTTCATATGCTTAAATTTTGATTTGTAAGAATAGTCTCATTCAAGTCAGTAGAGGTTTAGTGAGTGCGGTGTGGCTGTTTGTGTGAGTAGAGCTAGAGCATGCCTAGTTAATTAAAAGATACAAAGGTAAAAGGTGTAAAGAGCAGAACTCTTACACTGTCATTGGTGCCAACCTCTGTTCAGGCTCTGAGGAGGCTTGCATATGATTAAAAAAGTGATGGTGATGGGGTGTGAGCGTGTTGGAGTCCAGAGCTGCTGTGCAAAAGATCTTAGGCTGGAGAAGTGAATGCGCTGACAGCAATCTTTGGAAGTTCAACAGGGCCAGGTACCAAATCCTGTGTCTGGAAGGAAGTAAGGCCGCACGGTGGTACATAAAGACTGGAGCCTGACTGGAAACGAAGCAGGCTAGTAGGAAAACACCTGGTGGAGAGCAAGCTGAATGTGGTTCAGCAGTGCTCTTGTGGTGAAGAAGCCCAGCCATGTACTAGGTTGCATTGGCAAGAATGTAGTTGGTGAGTTGTGAGAAGCGATTCTTCATCTCTGTTCTGTGCTTACAAGACAGTATCTGGTGTACTGTGTCCAGTCTTGGACTTTCCAGTCTAGGGCATTGGTATACTGGAGTGAGCTCAGCAGAACACCATTGAGGTGGTTAAGGCGCTGGAGCACGTGATATATGAGGAGAGGATGAGAGAACTGTCAGCCAGCCTAGTCTCAGAAGTGCATGGGGATAGGACAAGAAGCAACAGATGAGCTGAAACATGGGAAATTCTGACTATATACTGGAGGAAAAAACATTACTCTGATAGTAGTCAAGCATTTAAACAGATTGACTAGTGAGATTGTGGATTTTATCCTTCAGCTCAAAACTAAAGTTCTTGAGCAGCCTGCTCTTTGGACTTCCTTTGAGCAGGAGGTAGGACTAGAGGCCACCCAGGTGTCTCTTCTTACATGACTGCATATTTCTTGCATACATTTGCCTTTTAATTACTGTGTGTTTTCTCTTTCTGAAGGAAAACGTACAGGCAGAGGCTTCAGCTCTGTTGCCACACCTGGTAAAACAGTCCCCTATAAATGAAGAATTTTAAAGTAGACTTCTTAGTTCAGAAGTTTCCACTATTGTAAGGCAATAGTGATTCCTCTGCTCTTCAAGTTAGAGGCTGTTTTATTCTGGAAATGTAAAGCTCTCAGGGTTTTTAGATTGAACAAGTTCTGGGTTGGAACCTTGAAGGTAGAACAGATATGAGATCTGTAATGCTTCCTTAAGCTGCGTTTATCTGAAATGTGAAGATCATAACTTTAAAACAGCTGTTTGAAATCCTTTGTATGTTGCCAAAGATAATTTTGTCTAGTGTGTATTTCAAGCTGTGCCTATGATTTTAGGCAAGACAGAATTTAGACTGGTTTCCTATAATTACATGAAAAAGACTTTGAGATGCAGTTACTGTATATCTTTTGATTTTCCATCTGTGGTGTGTTTGGTTATATCTTTTAGTTTGTACTGGAAGATAATGCAGAATGGTTCTGTAGATCTTTACCTTCAAATGAATTTGTTCATCAGTAATTTTTTTTGGTAACTGAAGAATAGTTAGCTCAAAATGCATTTACTAGGAAGTTTTAAGAAAACTAATTAATCTCACTTCTAAGGT